AGTGCTCATAATTTTTCTCCTATATAATCACTTTTATACTATGAAATTATTGCAACTCTGTTATCGCTTCCGTCGTAGTTACGTTAAATAGTACAAAAAATAGACATAAACTTATTACAAATAAAAATTCATTTTTAGAGAGTATATAGTACGTAGGTGCGGCGAGATAAAACAACGAATAACGACGCGTTGTCCTTCCCCTCGCCGCGCATCGGCAACAGTTTCTGAATCGACTGGGCTGTGGCCTGAGCAGCTGTAACGCTTCTCTATCTTCTATGTCGGCGCGCTTCCACTCTCTCTTTCCTCAGATTTCTGTCATTAATAATTCGATAATTATTGCGAATCCCATAGTATAGGACTTTTATGTTTGTCTTAACCCAATCTACCTTCACACTTTAGGTTGGCAGCTAATTACCGGACACCCTATATAAAGATGTTCCTACCTATTTTTTGAATAGTCCGTATGTTGGAAAGTAACATTAATATAATAGTTGGATTCGGCATAAAATAACTTCATTTCGTACAAATAAAATTTTTGGAATATGAAAAAAAATTGGTAAATAGTGGAGTATGTTTGAAATTTTGACATTAACAAAATGAAAACGCCGTTATAAAGTATTCTTCAAACTATTTAATTTTTATTCGGAAATTTTTTTCTATTTCTTATAATTTGATAGTATATGTTCCGAAAGAAAAATACCGATTTCTTCAAAGTGGTATTTTATTCTTTAAAAGGCTAATTGAGCACCTATAAAAAAATTGTGTCCCTTATTCTGATTTAGATTACAATATATTTCAAGCTCATCAAAATTAAAGGGAGACATTTATATGTATTCTTTGTTAGTCGTCTAAAAGAAAAAAAGAAAAACAATATATTGAATTTGTTGATTTCAATATGTCGAGTTGTCTTCTCTGTTTGAATTATAAATATAAGGAAAAATGCATCTAACTTGCGGTATCCAAATATCGCAACGATTCGCATACCCATGTTTGTAGAAATGAGTTTTAACGCTATATTTCGAGTATCTCTTCAATCTCCCGAGTCGTTTAATGTGGTTTATTTTTCACTAGTGTCTTTATTTGATATCATCAATCTTAGTTGGTTTTTTCAAAAGTGTAGCATCTTTGAAAAATTTTCTGTATGAAATTTCGTAACTAAATTGAGGCAGTAAATTATTTATAGCTTCTTCTCTGTATGTCATATATATTTTCTTTCCGGTTTGCACCGCATTTTTAGAAAATAATAATAAAGCATAATGTGTCGACGATGCACTTCATTTCCTTACATCTCTAAACTTATACCAAACATAATCAACACAATCAATTTCCATACTTCTTTTCTTAATAATATACTGAAATATTAACTTAAGTTATACAGGTTGCGTAAAAAGTTCGCGGAGCGGCATCTACAGGGTGTCCCATAATTGTAGGACACGAACTCCATAGCGGCATAGAGCTAAGCGGGAGGAACAAAAAAGTCCTTTTTCATTTAGCGATATCTCACATAGTTTTTTAGTAATAACCGCGTAAAGTTTGGCGTTTGTCACACCCATCGCGACCTATAGACGCTCCGCGGCGAGCTGTGTGCGTCGGGGCTAAGCGATAAGGCGGCGCGCGTTGACTGCCGCGCCGGCGATGGCGTTTTGATGCTTTGACGCCGTCGACGCGCGGCCAGGCGATGATGAACGCGCCGCGTGTACGCTGCAAATCTCAGCGTATTTTCTCTTTGCCAAAAGTGTGTGGAGCACACTTTTGGGTTGCAGGCGTTAATTAAACGTTTATTAAACACGACGACAAATGCGAATTAAACGCAATTGCGCGTGTTAAAATTACTTTTTCGCGTAGAAATACTATCATTTCCACACCACCTATGAGGTAGATAGCTTGGTGCGTTTTTTTTTACGTGGTTTCCCCAGTAAGCCTAATTCACGGTTACTGATTAGTGTAGTAACTGTTCGAAGTGCCTTCCTCCAACTTGTAAGCAGAGTTCAGCTCTTTGTGTTATCTCTTGCATCGCACGGTACGCCATATCCGGTGTGATGGTAGCGAAGGCCGTAATAATTGCTGCACGTACCTCCTCTTCTGTACCATCGCGCCGTTGCTCGACTAAGGATTTGACGTATCCCCATACAAAATAATCGAGAACGTTCAAATCCGGCGACCGTGCCGGCCAAGTGATTGGGCCACCGCGACCCATCTACCTGTCCGGAAAACGCATATTTAATATTTCTCGCACTGCACGCGAAGAGTGCGCGGGAACCCCGTCGTGCTGGAATATCATAGTTTCGCGTACGCAGAGAGGAACGTCCTCGAAGAGAAGAGGTAGCTCGTTCTCAAAGAATTCCGCGTACCTCTGCCCATTAAGACGTGGCGGTAAAAAAAATGGGCCGATCTAAAAATAATTACCACATTTAAATAATTATACGCGTAATAAAACATGTTCTGCATGTTGCAAATTACAAGAATACGTACTACTCTGTCCGCAATTACTCCTGCCCACACGTTCACCGACCACCGGTATTGAAAAGCGCATTGCCGAACGGCGTGAGGATTTTCGGATTGCCACAGCTATGTGTTGCAAGAATTAAACACGCCGTTCGGTGTGAAAGTCGCCTTATCCGTCCACAGAAAACGGTCGGGAAATGATTGATTTTGCCGACACTGTGCGAGGAGACCTGCACGTGTTTCACGTAGATATATTAACATTTTTTAATTTAGTCCTTTATAAAAATAATAAACATACCTGCACAAAAGTGCGCTCGCGGTGCTTCATCACGTGGAAGTAATTGTTGCATGCGTCGATAACGGTAGGACCGCAAATTATTTTGACGCAAGATGCGATGCACCACAGATTTGGATAAATGTAGGCGTCTCGATAATTCGCGCACACTACATCCGGGATCGTTCTCGATCTCGCGCCAATACTCTCTCCTCGTCGCGGATCGAATGCAGGATGGGTGCACCAGCGCGAAGTTTATGGACCGGCAGGAGACTCCCCGTTTCCTTTGCTCGTCTTACGCAAAATCTAATAGTATTTCGCGAAGGATGCCGCGCGCGATTAGGATATCGCTGTGCGTAAAGACGCGCCGCGACATGATCGCTATAATCCGCCCTCGCGTAGCACATCAACATATCAAAATATTCTTCCGCTGTGAAATCTATTGTTTTAAGGCTGTGATGCGCGGAACACTTCACAGAAGCTACTGCCGTTAAGAACGTTTTTTGTAGGCGATAGAGAAAAACAGTTGAACATCTGAGAAACGATCTTCAACAACGCACAGCGATATCCTAATCGCGCGCGGCATCCTTCGCGAAATACTATTAGAATTTGCGTAAGACGAGCAAAAGGAAACGGGGAGTCTCCTGCCGGTCCATAAACTTCGCGCTGGTGCACCCGTCCTGCATTCGATCCGCGACGAGGAGAGAGTATTGGCGCGAGATCGAGAACGATCCCGGATGTAGTGTGCGCGAATTATCGAGACGCCTACATTTATCCAAATCTGTGGTGCATCGCATCTTGCGTCAAAATAATTTGCGGCCCTACCGTTATCGACGCATGCAACAATTACTTCCACGTGATGAAGCACCGCGAGCGCACTTTTGTGCAGGTATGTTTATTATTTTTATAAAGGACTAAATTAAAAAATGTTAATATATCTACGTGAAATACGTGCAGGTCTCCTCGCACAGTGTCGGCAAAATCAATCATTTCCCGACCGTTTTCTGTGGACGGATAAGGCGACTTTCACACCGAACGGCGTGTTTAATTCTTGCAACACATTGCTGTGGCAATCCGAGAATCCTCACGCCGTTCGGCAATGCGCTTTTCAATACCGGTGGTCGGTGAACGTGTGGGCAGGAGTAATTGCGGACAGAGTAGTATGTATTCTTGTAATTTGCAACATGCAGAACATGTTTTATTAAGCGTATAATTATTTAAATGTGGTAATTATTTTTAGATCGGCCCATTTTTTTTACCGCCACGTCTTAATGGGCAGAGGTACGCGGAATTCTTTGAGAACGAGCTACCTCTTCTCCTCGAGGACGTTCCTCTCTGCGCACGCGAAACTATGATATTCCAGCACGACGGGGTTCCCGCGCACTCTTCGCGTGCAGTGCGAGAAATATTAAATATGCGTTTTCCGGACAGGTAGATGGGTCGCGGTGGCCCAATCACTTGGCCGGCACGGTCGCCGGATTTGAACGTTCTCGATTATTTTGTATGGGGATACGTCAAATCCTTAGTCGAGCAACGGCGCGATGGTACAGAAGAGGAGGTACGTGCAGCAATTATTACGGCCTTCGCTACCATCGCACCGGATATGGCGTACCGTGCGATGCAAGAGATAACACGAAGAGCTGAACTCTGCTTACAAGTTGGAGGAAGGCACTTCGAACAGTTACTACACTAATCAGTAACCGTGAATTAGGCTTACTGGGGAAACCACGTAAAAAAAAAACGCACCAAGCTATCTACCTCATAGGTGGTGTGGAAATGATAGTATTTCTACGCGAAAAAGTAATTTTAACACGCATAATTGCGTTTAATTCGCATTTGTCGTCGTGTTTAATAAACGTTTAATTAACGCCTGCAACCCAAAAGTGTGCTCCACACACTTTTGGCAAAGAGAAAACACGCTTAGATTCAGGGTTGCCAGGTGTGGCGCATATCGCCAATGTGGCTCCTTGTTAAGTCGAAATGGCGCACAAATTTTTGAATTTGGCGCTTGGCGCATTTGTGGCTCCTTGAAAAAAATATTTGGCGCAATTATGGCTCCTCGTTGTATTTTTTACAAGTTAATACTGGGTGTATTCCGAACCGTAACCGCTCGGCTTATTTTTTTTTCTAGATTTTGGCAGCAAATTAACTGAGAAGTGTTCCGAACTCCTCATAGGCTATAAGTCTGTTCTTTTTAGCTGCACTGCTGAACTAGTGCAATAGGTTAGAATGAGACAAGTATAGTTTTTCTCACTCTAACCTATTGCACTAGTTCAGCAATGCAGCTAAAAAAAACAGACCTTATGAGTTCGGAACACTTCTCGGTTAATTTGCTGCCAACATTTAGAAAAAATAAAATAAACCGAACGATTCAGCACAAAAACAAGCATCATGTGACGTTGTGATATTGGACACTGTTTACAAAAAGAAAAAAATAGGCATATTTATTTCTGTGCGTCTTCCATTAACAATATTCCCGTTGGGCCTAAAACATGCCTAAAAGAACTGAAAAGATACGACAATTTAACCTCCAATGGATAAAGGAATCATGGGCTGAAGGTATGTTTTGTAATATTGATATATTGAAAATATATTTTGGAAGTTTTAAGAACTTATACATTTTTGGCTTTTAGGTTGGTTAATTGATGCCACTCAAGAAAATAGCTTGCACAATGCTTTCTGTAAAGTTTGCAAGTCATATATTAGAGCACATAAGAGTGACCTTCTCAGGCATACAGAACGTGCAACGCATAAAAATAATATGAAGAGTCTTGTGCCAGATATCAAGCAACAAAAACTGACAGACAAGAGTCATATTACTATTATCGCAAACGACGACAAGAAGACTAAATTATTGCTAGCTGTTTACATCGCACTTCACTCATCCATACATATTGATCATCTTACAGATGTATATAATCGTATTTCTAAAAATAAGTCTATAAGCTTCATCGTATTAAGTGTTCACTTCTAATTAAAAAAGTCATTACTCCAGCTATTTTTAAAGATCAGTTACATGATATAGGAGATAGTTCTTATTCTCTAATAGTCGACGAAAGCACAGATGTAACAACAATTAAATATTTATGTATCTGTGTACGTTATTTTAGCAAGAGGACAAGCAAAATTTTGGTCTGTTTTCTAGGGTTAGTTGAAGTAGAACGAGTGACCGCGACTTAGTAACTTATATTTAAAATTAAAAGAATTCTTAACAAATTGTGGATTAAAAATTATAAATATGATTGGACTAGGGACTGATGGATGCAAATAATCTTTGCGGACAATATAATTCTTTATACGCACGATTAAAAGAAGATAACCCTAAACTTCAACTCGTTCGATGTATTTGTCATTCGCTTAATAACGCATCGTCTAAAGCAGCTGAGGTTTTACCGTCAAATTTAGATTTCCTTTGCAGATGAGTTTATGCATGGTTTAGCCATAGTTCTCTTAGGAGAATAGAATATAAAAAATTATATGATATATTAAACAACGGTGAAAAACCTTTTCACAATTTTGTACAATTATGTTCAACACATTGGCTGTGCAGATATAACGTAATAAATATATTACTAGAACATTATGATGAACTAAAAACTCATTTCAGATTTGTTGTGAATAAAGAAAAATGTTATACAGCAAAAATGCTCAACGATATGCTGCATGATGAGACTAATTATTTATATTTTATTATTATTAAGCCCGTTCTTCATGAAATAAATAATGTAAATTGTATTTTTCAGTCGAATTATGTGGAAATAGGAAACGCAATTGAAGACTTAAAAAGACTTGTTTTCTTTATTTCTAAAAAAGTTTTAAAACCGATATTTACTAAAAACATTAACGACATTGTAAAGAATGTTAATAATGAACTTGCATATGTAGAAGCAAATGATATTGATTTCGGGATTGAGTATTATAAAAACTATCATAATATAAAAATGAATTTGTCAAAGAGTGATATTGATAACGTGCAACATCGAGCTGGTAATTATCTTAAAAAATTATTATTAGAATTAATTAAAAGATTGTCACTTAATATTGATTTATTTACAGGCATGCAACTTTTAAATCCAAAAGTCTGTCTTTCTACTACTACCAGACCAAAATTTTGTGATCTGTCCCTAATTGATACATTTATTAATGCAAATGATTTGAGTACAGCTGAAGTTGAATACAATTCATTAACTTCTGTTAACTGGAATCTTTTATATGGAGATAATATATATGAAAATAGTTTTATTTTCTGGCCTATTGTAGCACAACATAAAAATGCTGGAAATTCTTTAGTTTTTAATACAATAGCATAATATGTCTTGAAAATTTTAAGTTTGCCGATATCAAATGCAGTGGTTGAAAGAATGTTTAGTATTATGAATGTAACGAAAGACAAAATAAGGAACAGAATAGCAACAGAAATGTTAAATGCTTTACTCACTATTAAGTCTCATTGTTATGTCAACCAATATTGTTGTAGAAATTTTATTTGCACACAGCAAATGTTGGAAAATTTTAATAAACATATGTATTTATGTAAAAATGAAACTGCGCTTGAAGATAAACAATACGAGGAAGATTGCATACTATAGAGGCTGTGAATGAGACTGATGATATTGACTTTTGTATTAAAGAATATACTATAGAATATATTATAGAATAAGATGCATCTTAAATGCACTGTATAATAAACAATGATATTGTTCTTTAGTTTTCTTTTAATATGTGATATGTTCTATAATATTATCAGTGCAATATAGAATATAGAATCTTTTATTTCTAAGACTATATAAAAAAGTAAGACTAAAAAAAGTAATATATGTTTTCATAGGAAAATAAAATATCGTATTATCCTTTCCCCACATATATCCTTTCAACTGAAAAATATCGTATTAACTGTACTACTACTACCGGACTTAATTAAACTTTATTCGGTTTTTCTATACAGCATACTAGAAAAATACAAAATAATAGAATATTTACGATTAAGAGCTTTTTCGGATAGATCCATAAAATCTGTCTTATATGTCCTGTAATATGTTTTTAAACGTTTTCAAAGTTTGGCGCTATGTGGCGCTTTTGGTTGCCAAAACTGGCGCCTTGATGTATCAAAAACCTGACAACCCTGCTTAGATTTGCAGCGTACACGCGACGCGTTCATCATCGCCTGGCCGCGCGCCGACGGCGTCAAAGCGTCAAATCGCCATCGCCGGCGCGGCGGTCAACACATGCCGCCTTACCGCTCAGCTCCGACGCACACAGCTCGCCGCGGAGCGTCTATAGGTCGCGATGGGCGTGACAAACGCCAAACTTTACACGGTTATTACTAAAAAACTATGTGAGATATCGCTAAATGAAAGAAAACTTTTTTGTTCCTCCCGCTTAGCTCTATGCCGCTATGGAGTTCGTGTCCTACAATTATGGGACACCCTATATAAGTAAACGATAGAATTATAAATTGTAGTCGGTTATATAGAATCATTTTTCACATGAACCTAGGTTAGGTTTCATTTCCATCTGTCAACTCTTTCTGTGTTTACAAGCCAATTGAAGTTAACGTGTCAGTATATTTGTTTACAATGGAAAATTTGAAACAGCATGCAGTGATTGAGTTCTTTGTTAAAAAAGGTTTAAAGGCAATGGAAATTCATTCCTAGATGGTAAATGTGTTAGGGGAATCTGCTCCTTCAAAAACAATGGTTTGTAAATGGGCACTTGAGTTTCAACGTGGTCGTACAAGCATTGAAGATAATCCACGCAGTGGACGTCCAAAAAGCGCATCAACACCAGAAATCATTGAGCAAATACATGTTATTGTTTCTGAAGATCCAAGTGTGACTACGCATGAAATTACTCATACCATAGGCATTTCAGATGAACGGGTACGGCATATTTTGTATATAGAATTACAAATGAAAAAGGTGTTTGGAAAAGTGGTGCCGCATACATTAACAATTCAACAAAAACTCGCTCGAAAGCAAATTTCTTAGCGTCATTTGGATCGTTTTAAGAAGAATAAAACCGATTTTATGCGTCGTTTTATAACTATGGATGAGACTTGGATCTATCACCATGGTCCTAAATTGAAACAGGAACGTTTATAGTGCACTGAAGCTGGATGTTCAGCTACAAAACAAACAAAGCATGAAAGATTGGCAAAAAAGGTTCTGGCATCAATTTTTTGGAATGCTAGAGGGATTTTGTTAATTGACTATCTGGAAAAAGGTAAAACAATTAACTCTGAATATTATTGTAACCTTTTGGATCAATTGGACGCAAAAATTCGTAAGAAAATACCTGGTTTGCAGCACAAACAAATCATTTTTCACCAAGACAACGCACCTGCTCACAAAAGTGTTTTGTCAATGTCTAAATTCAATGAATTGAAGTACAAATTGCTTGATTATCCACCATATTCGCCAGATTTGGTACTCAGCGACTTCTATCTGTTCAGAAACCTGAAACAATTCCTCCGTGGAAAGCATTTTTTGTCGAATGAAGAAGCTATAGCAATCGTAGAGGCATATTTCGCAGATCTTCCAGAAACACACTTCCGCGATGGAATAAAATTATTGGAGAGTCATTGGGCCAAGTGTATTGAAGTTAATGGAGACTATATTGAAGAATAAAATCATTTTTAGAATTAGGTATTCTTTCAGTATTCTATTTCAGTTTCGCTCCGCGAACTTTTCACGCAACCTGTATATGCATACGTGAAGTTATCACCTGTTTTATTAAACGTGATTTTAACACTATTTATTGGAAAAATGGGAAGACTTATTAGCTAATCTAATACAAGGATAGCTTGAAAAGTTCTCGATCTGACAAAGAAAACACATGATTCTTTTTTATTTTTCAACATAGTTTTCTTTCAACCCAACACGTTTAGACCAACGATATCCTAACTTCCTTATATCTTCCGTACAATACAATTTCTTTAATCCTTCAAAGTAAACATTCTCCTCAGCGATGACCTCCATATTTGAAATGAATTTCTTTCCAGCGAGCCATTTCTTCATGTTTCATGGGAACAGATAAAAGTCACTAAGAGCTAAATCTGGTACGGTCGCAACAATCCGAAACACGATTCATAGAGTTTTACAACTACAATTGTGAACGGGTGTATTATCGTTATGAAAAAGTACATTTTTCTCTACCAGATAAGGACGTTTGGTTTTAATAGCGTCATCAGTTATTCCAGCTATGCTGTATAATACTCTCTGTTGAAAGTTTTGCCTTTTTCTAGATAGTCTGTAAGCATCACACCCTGCGAATCCTAAAAAGCAGTCGCCATTACTTTTGCAGCTTATAGAACTGTTTTTGTCTTGTTTGGAGCATTTTCACTCGCTTTCATCCATTGTTTGGACTATTGTTTCGTCTCTGGTGTGTAGTGATAAATTTATTTTGCATTAATAGTGATGAATCGTCGCAGAAACTCTGTTAAATGCGTTTGAATACGTCCAAGCACTCCTAAGAAACGTTCATTCGAATGCGTTTTTGATCGACCGTTAGCAAATGCGGCATCCATTGCGCTGATAGCTTTTTCACATGCATTTTGTGTAAGATGTTGTGAACACGATTTATTGAGATGTTCGCAAGCTCACACACTTTCACTCGTCGATCATTTAACATGACGTTGTGGATATTTTCGATGATTTCCTCAGTCGTAGCAGGCGACCTGAACGTTTATCGTCAAAAATGGACGACCGACCATGTTGGAATTTAGCAGTTCGTTTCTTCACTGTTAAAAACGATGGTGAAGAGTCTCTCAAAATAGAATCTAGCTCGTTTTTTTATTTCCGTTGGTGTAAACTTTTTAAAATGAAGTATTTTATTATTGCACGACATTTGACTTTATCCATTTTTCAAACATCACAACTTATTTGCTTTACTCGATCATAACAAATGAACTACTAGACGTATCTGCTTGAAACGTTACGATAAGCCTTGTGAAGAGTCAAATCTGAGAAAAATCATAGCCATTTGATGCTGGCATCATTTCTGTGTCAGGCCGAGGACTTTTCAAACTACCCTCATATATAGGACGTCTAAAAAGTCCCGGGTCGGTAAAATATCTTGAAAGCCAGGCATTTTAGAAAAATGTTTGGAACAAAAGTTGTATGGTTTCAACGGAGATATAAAACAATTATATAATTTATTTACAGATGGCGGCACTTTCGAAATACTCATTGCTCATAACTTTTCTTAAATGAAAATCTAAATTTTTTATTATAATATATCATCTTTTTGACCAATTAATTTTAACAACTTTTGATTGAAACATTTTTTTATTTGCCTTTTGGAAATTTCAAAATTATCAAATTAACAAAATTCAAGGCGCTATTATAACAATACATTCTTGAGATCAAATAAAGTAAAAAAGTCTAATACCACTTTTTCTTTCGGTATAAATAGTTAACGAGATATCGTAAGTTAAATATTGAAAAAGTTATCAAGTTTTCCTTAAATATCTTAAAAAATATTAGGCAAATGAAAAAATATTTTAGACAAAAGTTGTTAAAATTAATTGGTAAAAAGGTGATATAATAAAGAATTGGAGTTTCCATTTAAGAAAAGTAATGATCAGTGAGTATCTCGAAAGTGTCGCCATCTGTAAACAAATTATATAATTGTTTTATGTCTCCCTAGAAACTATACAACTTTTATTCGAAACATTTTTTTCTGAAATGTTTGGTTTTCGAGATATTTTACCGATCCAAGACACTGGGTCCTTTTTGGACACCCTGTATATAAGAATTATAAGAAAAATAGCGTGATCATGTGATTATGTGTTTATCTAACATTATGTTTTTGAAGATTATCTCTACGTTATCAATATTTTTAGAATGTATTTTGCGTTGCATTTCCTATGACATGTAACCTACTTTTTAAAATTCCTTTTTCTTTATGACTCTATAACTTTAACTTTACAATAATTTATTGATTATTAAATGAAAAGGAAAGTGTACGAATTATTTTACAAATTTATTTGATCGATTGCAATTGTCATTTTTTTAATATATCTTTTTATTTTGATATATGATGTTTGATATATGATTTTAATATATGATTTCAAAAATTTTGGTATATATTTTCTCACTTCTAACGTCACAAATCAGGTAAACAGGAACTTTAATATGTAAAAGTTTCAAAATTTTTATGTCCTTTCAAATCTTTTAGATTTCAAAAAATTTTGGTTTTCTTCTTTTAGGGCAATGCAATAACAACAAACGGAGGCACGATGCGCAAGTTGTCGTTTTTATCCTCGCCGGCCAAGAGACTAACAGAGCTTACTGGAGGCTCATCTGTTTTAAGAACAACAATACAAGGAATATCACGAGATCGCTGCTTCGCCAGCATTGGGATTTTGATTTTACGATGGAACGCGATGATTTTGCAATATTTCGACAAAGCCGGATATATTTCGGCAATCGTGGAACCGATAATTGGCATCAATTTCTGGCAGAAATTAAGCGGATTTACACAATCTGACGTCATTGACGGAGCGGATTTCAGTTTAAGATCAACTTTATTAATAAATGAGATAAGTACACTTGCTTATTATTGCAATTTCCCACAGTGCAGCATCTGAGAAGACACGTTCGGAAAGAAACGACAGAATGGTATCGATCTCTATAAGCACGAAAGTAGTTCTACAATGCATCATGAGAGAGAAGATCCTGAAGATGAGACACTGAAATGTCAAGCTGATTCATATCAAGTCGTAATGTCAGGAAATTCCAAAATGACAACCACGGTAACATCGACGATAAAAACAATAAAAACAGCGAAGGAAAAGGCATGCCTTTTGAAGAAGAAGAGCATATGCAGTTGCGGAATAGAAGACATGGCACAAGAACGAGGATTCCATATAATGCGTGAAATAGGATTCGATCTCTACGATCCTAATTTGTTCACGAGAGATTGGAAAATCGATAGGAGATATTCGGGGACTATCGCAACCAATATCACAGAGATGTAGCTGAACTTTTGAAATCATTATATTTCTATATAAAAATTCACACGAGATATATGATACGTTTTTTTTTTATAATCATACATAATTTTTGTGTGTCAAAATCTGTTTTTTTCCTCGCGACCGTGATATAAAAAAAGAAATATACGCGTGTTTTTTTTAATGCGAGATTAATAAATTATACAGGCTATTTTTGCCCAGAGAAATTTATCGACTTGTTATACACACTTGTTATTGTGTAATCATATATTTATCTATCTGCGCGTATAATTACAATAGTCTTCAAAAAAAGAAAGGGGACTCGACGTGGTTATTCTCTAATTTAAACGCCCCTGTACGATCATCGCACTTGCCTTTCTATACTTATTATACTTTCCGCGGTTAACAGTAATTAATATTACGATCATATAATTGCGGCGATTACTACATACTCTACATACTATATCTCATGAATAGTAACAGCGAGAGGCACGATGATGATTACAGATTTCAATGCGATGACATGTTAACGCGTTGATTTCTTTGACTAAATTATCAGTCGTATGATCGTTGACGGTCATAGATATCACGCATATGTGTTTTCGTTGGTAGATTCGTAGGTTAATATTTTGTTGTACGTTTTCCTCTTTAAAACTCAATTGTTTCTAACGGGTCATGCAGACGCTCGATATTTATCGTCGATTATGTCGCTTCGTTTTATCAATGATATATCAATATTTTATTATATCCAACTTTTATAACAACTTACAATAAAATGTTGCTAGCACATCTCGATACGACGTTTATTTTATTAATACAGTACTGATTAATATTTCGGTGAATAATACAAGAAATATTTTGTGTTTTATCAAACTACGTTTTTCCAATACATATACATATTCTTTTTGTATACATATATTATTTTTATTGATAATTTCGTCATATTTTCATCGTTGGACATTCAATTGTATCGCCGATACCGAAGCACCGGCGAGGAATATTGATCGCTTGCTTACTCCTTAAATATTCGTAGTGTGTAAAGTGTTGTAGGTATACGTGCGTGTATGCGAAGAATAAATTTTTTAATATCCGTTACTTAAGAGTCGTGTAGGTGTGTAAATGTGTGAATATATGTCAGACTAGCGAATAAAATAGTCTAAGAATAGAGAGAAAAAAGGAGAAAGTGAGAGTGAGAATATGAATGAAAAAGGGAAAAAGGGAAAGAAAAAAAGATTATTAATTATCAAAATCGATGACAATGAAACACCAACCTACCGTAGTTAACTGATATTTAAGTAAGCGGAAATAATAGTAATTTATAGTTTTATGCAGAATATATGTGTATGTATGTGTGTGTGTAAGCTATATATATATGATATGTATGTATATATGTATGTATATATGTGTATATATATATATATATATAACTACACAATAAAATGGTCGCGCGGATCGTCGGATAACTCACAACGTTCACGAGTGAAATTTAAAAGAAAAATTCAACTATTTCCAGCAAACACCGTCTCAATGCACTCTATATATACTAACTATACATACACATACATACCCCAATCATGGACTTCACGACTCACTCCATTCAATGTATCGTTTATCCTCGTTGATTCGTATTAATCGTTACGTCTAATCGCTTGCGATGAAATTCATCGTACTTGTGAACGTGAAACCCATCAGTCGCCTGGATTATCGTTGAAATATTGAAAAGAAGATAACATTGCCGAATGAAGGACGGAGACCTCGGTCGCAATGGCGTGGCTTTCATGAGGATTAAGAATACGCACGCGTTGCTAAGACTACGGCCGCGATCGTTTCTATAACAACGAGTAATAATGATGAAATCACAGTTTTATCCATTGTGATCGAGCCTGGATAACGTATATGTCGAGTTACGGCCAATCTATGCGACGGAGACGCGCGCGTGCACGTTGTATAAATGTACGTGATGTGTATGCACGGGTATATATATATTACGAAGAATGAGTCGCTAAAAATAAAGTGCTTATCCGAATATCTCTCTTATGTTCAAAGAAGGATTGGGAAAGTACATTTTTGAAAAATAACCTGTTACTATTATTCACTAATTATTGAAAAACGCAACTCATAATTGTTATCGTTATTTAAGAAGTAACGAATTGTTGCAACTTTTACTCCTTTTCTTACAAAATTTTGAATCTTTGTTTTAGAATATTCGTTCCTGTGTATATATATATATAGGGTGTCTCATTTTTAACAACGCACTTCGATAATTCTTGAACGAAGCATTTTCAGTAAAAAATGTTTTGAACAAAAGTGGTATGATTTCGAGGGGGACATAAAACAACAATACTATTTTGTTTATAAATGGCACTACTTTCGAAATATTCACTGATCATTACTTTTCTTAAGTGGAAATCCGAATATTTTATTACACCATCTTTTTCTACCAATTAATTTAAAAAGCTTTTATCTGAAACATTTTTTTATTTACCTAATATTTTTTTAGATATTTGAGGAAAACTTGATAACTTTTTCAATATTTAACTCATCTCTCTATTTGTCGGAAAAAAAGTGGTATTAGACTTTTCTGCTCTATTTAATCTCAAAAATATGTTGTTATAATAGTGCCCTGACTTTTGTTAATTTACTGACTTTTGGAAATTTCAAAATCATCAAATTAACAAAAGTTAGGGCGCTATTATAACAATATATTCTTGAAATTAAATAGAGCAGTCTAGTACCACTTTTTTCCGACAAATAGCGAGATATCGTGAGTTAAATATTGAAAAAGTTATCAAGTTTTCCTTAAATATCTCAAAAAATATTAAGCAAATAAAAAAATGTTTCAGATAAAAGTTTTTTAAATTAATTGGTAGAAAAGGACGATGTAATAAAAAATTGGGGTTTTTATTTAAGAAAAGTAACAATCAATAAATATCTTGAAAGTGGTGCCATTTGTATAAAATAATATAGTTATTTTTATCCCCCATGAAATCATGCAACTTTTGTTCGAAACATTTTTGCTGAAAATGTTTCGTTAAAATATTATCGAAGTGTGTTTTTTAAAATGGGACAATCTATATATATATATATATATACACACACACACACACACAGGGTGTATACGAGTTCGTGTTACAACTTTTTCTCACACGATTTAACGTTACCGACAGCATTATAGTTAATTGAGTCGCATATAGATATTGCACGCATCGTATTGTTATGGGCAAGTTCAAATGATTCACTCCTCGGCTGCTAGAGCTAAGATTTTAGTACGAAAAGGTACAGATACTTAACATGGTAATGCATTATAAAAATGTGAAGATTACGCCTGTAGCGTGAGAAATGAAGAAAAGTGCGGAAAAACGTGAAATCGTTAAAACTCCCGGGTATATAATTTTCTTACTTTTATTTTCCTTGTGTACTTTGAATCACACAGAATCATTTCCAGATTTTACAACTCAAAATACATAAAAATATGTCAGATTTATTCATTTGAATAATAGTTCCCAAAACTCAATTTTGCATACTTTCCTTCTGGGACACTTTTACATTTATACAACAAATGTTATATTTATACTTATATAACAAATATATTTGTTCTGTATGAATGCTTGTAATTGCAATGATTCCCGCAATCTTTTCTATACGAGCCTAAAACGCGAAAGAGTAAACGTTGGAAGAATGTTCTTGTAGAGAAAAATGTAAAATATATCACGATTACGTAAAAGTCGTATTTTGCTGCGATTATCTACTCTGCTATATACACGCTATATACACGCAATATACACGCTATATACACGCAACTTTTAAAACTCACATAATGTTATTTTTTATTACATTTTGATAATGCATTACCACATTAAATATCTACACTTTTTCATACTAGGATTTTAGCTCAAGCAGCCGAGGAGTCAACCATCTGAACTTGCTTATAACGACACGATGCGTGCAATATCTATACGCGATTAACTATAATATTATCGATAATATTAAATCATGTGATAAAAAGTTGTTACACTAACTCATATACCCTGTATATAGAGGATGAAGCATTTAATAACTTACCTAACTAACCAAAATAGATCACCTAAATAACTTTGAAAATATGCAAGATATAAAAGAAAATTAATATAGAAGTTGTAGGATTTTAAGCGATGCATCACATAGTAATAACAGTATGACTTTGAACAGCATTAAAATTATGGAAGTCACCTTAAATATTTTAAATAGAAACTTTCATTTTTATTATATCATCTTTTTCTATCAATCAATTTTAACAACTTTTACTTGAAACATTTTTTGAAACATTTTTTTATTTGCCTAATATTATTTTAGATATTTAAGGAAATCTTGGTAACTTTTTCAAGATTTAGCTTATGGTTTATATTAACTATTTGTGGCAAGAAAAAGCGATACTAGATTTTTTTACTTTATTTGGCCCCAAAAATATGTTGTTATAATAATGGCTTACCTTTTGTTAACTTGATGATCCTTGGAAATTTCAAAATTATCAAGTTAATAACAGATGGAGCATTATTGTAATAGCATTATTCTTGAAACCAAATAGAGTAAAAGATTCTAGTACCTCATTTTTTCTTCCGACAAATAGTTACCAAGATATCATAAGCTAAATCTTGAAAAAGTTACAAAATTTTCTTTCCAATATTTCAAAAAATATTAGGCAAATAAAAAAATGTTTCAGACAAAAGTTATTTAAATCAATTGGTAAGAAAAGTTTATATGATAAAAATGAAGGTTTTCATTTAAAAAATTCAAGGTAACCTTCCTGTAACTTTGATGATGCTGTTCAAAGTC